GTTCTGTTGATGGCTAATTAAAAATAAAAAACCTTTTTTAAAATGTACGTGTTGTTTATATGTTATTGTTCATATTTTACAAGTGTTATTTCCACCCCTATGAAGATAACAAATACCAACAACCCTGTTATAAGAGAATATATTATTTGTGCTCATGTTCAAGCTAGTGTATAAAAGATCATTTATTTCTGCAGTCCAGCATGTATTGCTTTTATTAAAGTTTAACAGCTTACATCACAGCATTTTTAAACTGCATATTATTCTGTGTTTTTAAATGTAAGTGCTTCTATTTACATCAGCTAGCCTTTGTTATAGTGCAGTTACCGGCAGTCAAATGACTGTTATAGTGCAGTTACCTGCAGTCAAATGAGCAGTTCGGGGGGCGTGGTTGATTTTACATAAAGCGTTTGGTTGGAAGCTCGATTTCGCTCATTTTCGCGGCTCCTCCTCTGGCTCCATCATGCTGTGTTCACACCAGACACGGAACGTGCGGATAAATCGCGCTTAAATGGCCGCGTGAACATTTGAGGTTACTTGCTTCATTTGCGTGTCAAATTCACTTCAGAACAGACACAGATACGTGTGAAGGGCAGGGCTTCAGTCTGCCCCGTGACTCTAGCTTCATATCTAAAGGGCTAACATGGATTTTATGAAGAAAATAACAGTGTTTATGTGCTTAATGAAGGATGATAAACAGCATCAATACGTTTAGTGCTGTGTCTGAGTCCACTACATACTTTCAGAGGTGCATCCAGCTCTTTAAGCTCATAGACTCCTCCAGAAACTGAACCTGGCTGATGGAGGTTTTCAGCGGTGCTTCTGACTGAGCCCAGCCCAGTTTGATGAACTTCTTGTCGGTGTCTGCTGGGGGATTTCCCCTGGGACACCGACAACAGGTGATACGTTACAATCACGCCCCCACAAGAGCAAGCTCCTGATTGGTTAACGCGGCGCGAATGCCCGCTGAAGTTCAGATTTTCGAACTCGAGTGATTCACGTCAAACGCTCAAAACACTCAATTCGTGCCACGCCATTCGCGCCATGCAATTCTCATCATTCGCGCCGTGACATTCACGCGTATCGTGCCGCAGGATGTGTATTCGCGCGTATGCATTGACTTAACATGTAAATCACTCGCGTTTGACGCGTGTTCCGCGTCTGGTGTGAACGCAGCATCAGACAGTCCTTCTGTGCATGTCCAGGCTCCAATTTCAGCAGTCTTTTGCGACAGTTTGTGCCCGTCAAACAGGCGTTTTGCCCTCAAGGCGTTCAATGGGAAAAGGGGCTGTCGCGTCGTCCATATTTTTTACAGTCATTGAATCATGGCCTCCCAATCATCCCCTTCCACCAAATTGGCTCTATCACTGTCTCTCCACTCCACCAATAGCTGGTGTGTGGTGAGCTCACTGGCGCCGTTGTCCTGTGGCTGCTGTCGCATCATCCAAGTGGATGCTGCACACTGGTGGTGGTGTGGAGAGACCCCCCCTCATGATTGTGAAGCGCTTTGGGTGTGTGGCCATACACAATAAATGCGCTATATAAATACACATTACATTACATTACATATTTAGTAACTAATTCTTTAAGTTGTATATTTAGATTATTCATGTAATTCAGTTTATTTTCCTTGATCCCTACATTATGTTTACCTCGCATAACAGCTTTAGCTGCGTCCTATAGGATACTAGGTGACCCCTCTCCATTATCATTGTTTTAAATATTCTAATAGCTCTTTTTTAACATATTCTACACATGTTAAATCATCCAAATGATAAGGGTTAAATCGCCAAAATGTCTTTTTGGCTTTATTGTCCAGGTACACTGTTAAATAAGCTCCTGCTTGGTCTGAGATGTCCTTTGTTCCTATTTTACAGTCTTTTATTTTATGTTGATCAGACCTAAAGTAAAAAGATAAATTCTAGAATGATACATGTGGGCGGTAGAAAAGAAAGTACATTATTTTTTAAGAGGGTAAATGTCTCTCCAAACATCTATTAAGCCTAATTCTTTCATCAGATATTTTATTTGTTTAGTTTTCTGACTAATTTGCTTATTAGAGGACGAGTCCAATTTAGGCTGAAGTTGTACATTCCAGTCTCCCCCACAGATCAACATACCTGACACCTCCTTAGCTATAATACTTTTTTTTTTTTTTGAGAAATGCTTTGTCTTTTTCAGGAGGTCTAAATATATTAACTAACGCAACTTTTTGGTCGATAGTTCCTTCATCCTTTTTTATCAGTAATTTCAGAAATTAACTGAAATTAGATTTTATTTAAGATTAATGTCATTACTCCTTATTTACGACCATTATTATATGAGAAAGATAATAAAATAAAAAGAAAACCTTAAATCCCATTTTTTTCCAATTTCTTATGTTCTGTATCAGAAAGATGTTTCTCTTGCCAGAAGATTATCTGTTGCTTTTCTCTTTTTATTTTAGCCTTGAGTTTGCTTCTTTTAATCGGATTTACTAACCCATTAATATTGAAAGTAATTACTCTATATTTCTGTTTTTGCATATACTATAATCAGATGTTATTGCGAAGATCACTGTGACCGGAACATGAAAAACACAAACAAGAAAATCTTTAACACATACAAAAAATAACGAAAACGGTCTTCAACCCTTAAAGTCTTAAATAACTTCTTAACGTGAGGGGAAAGTCTTCCTTCTCTAAAGGGCCTCTCCTTGCTGTGCCTATTGCACAAAAAATGTTAACGAATATATTCAGCTCCCATGTCTGGGAATATTCTTGTATTTCTGGCTAGGTTTTCAAATTTAATATTTATACTAATTATAGCAAGGGATTTTAAGTGTATAAATTTGAATCCTTTTATGTCTTCCTACCAGTATGTTACTCAATGGCTTGAGTCTTGGTGTGCTTTAATTGTTCATCTTGTGTCGTTGGTCAGTCTGTTTAAATACCATTCTTCCTTTAAACTATTTAAATGTCCATTACAAGGTTATTATAGTTAACGAAAACGAAAAATTAAAACTAAAATGTAAAATAATTGTCGTTAACTGTAATAAAATTAAAAACTAGTTCTTTTAAAAACTAGAACTAACTGAAACTGTGTTGTGTAGATACAAAACTAACTGAAACGAACTAAAATGATAGCAAAAACCTCGTTTTCGTGTTTGTAAATGTATTTAATACATAATCTTACTGTAAGCCTTTTAGAAGTAAATATATTCCGCGCTGCAGGTGTTTGTGTTTGATCCTTCCGCACCTCAGTGTCTCCTGCTGCCATTGGCCAGATCGAGCCGGCTCTCCTCCAGTCATCCTCGCTGTTGCTCCCGCGACAAAAGCAATGAGTGGACATGACAGCATCACGGCGACAGCATTAAATAAAGATACTTAAAAGTATTACTTTAACACGTTTATGCCCAATAATGGGTTTTATTTCTGTATCGCGATCGCGAACAAATCTTTTTAACCGGATCTTCTAACTGAACCAGTTGAACTAGTTCACTAAATCGAACTAAATCATTTGAAACGATTCGCGTCTCCAGTAAGAACTTATCCACCAACTACTTACTTTATAACAAGTCTACTACCCCTCTGACTCTAAATAAGCCAATATATACTCTCATTCAGTTATTAGAACAGCAACTTTACATTGAGAAGCGGTGAACCGTTAATACTGCGCATGCGTGATTCAGTGAACCAAACAAAAACAGTACAGCCCTCAGCCTGCTGTGTGACTGATCTGAACCACTGAACTGAACTGGAAGAACTGAAGCACGGGTAAACTAAGGCTTAAATGAGAGGATCTGGTGAAAAAACGCAAGTTTATTTCATAGCAGACAATCATAATGGAATTTAAATGAGTGAATCATGATTCAGTTGGGTTGCAAAACTTTACTGAAAGACTTTTCTGATCATTTTAATTGACTTAAATTACTATTGCTGACTACATAATGTTGAGTCCTAACATCCACGTTAAAAATCTGAATTACCCATCAGCAGGCCCGGATTAATAATTCAGAGCCCATTGGGCACAATGTCTTGAAGGCCCACTATAGCCGCACCCTATAGTTGAATTAAAAAATAAGATTAATATAATATTTGATAAAAAAATTATCTATAATGTATTGCCCACATTTTTTAAATAATTGATATACAGTACATATATTTCTATTCTACAAAGATTTAACTTATTTTTAAAGCATTTAATTTGAAAGAAAAAAATACTAATACAACTAGGGGAAATTAATGGATTTTAATGTACTTGTTCAAGTTCACTGAAGCAGTATTAAAATGTATATTTAGGGTATTTTAATGTATAACTTCTACAAACTTATACTGCACATGATTTGGATAACACCTCTCCAATCCAGTTCTAGGAGTCGGAGTCCTCCATAATACACACACTTATCAATAATTCCCACTTGTCTTTTTGGTGATGAAAAGTAGGCAAAATCTAAGTGCGGACGGGCCCCTGGGCCTGTGCCCATAATGCCTATAGTTTTATCCGGCCCTGTCCATCACTACTGGGTGTCTAACTTGAGGATGGGTAGATGGTTGTGGTGGATGATAGTGTTCATCTTCTTTTAATACATGTTTTAAAAAATGTGTGGCTGAGTTTTTATTATACAATATTTATACTGTTGATTTTGAATTTTGCATCTAACAAATATCCTCATTTAAAAAAAAAAACTGAAACTAATACTGAAACTAATAAAAAGACATTTTTTAAAATATAGAAACTAATAAAAACTAAGAAATCTGCCTCTAAAACTAATTAAAACTAACTGAATTTAAAAATAAAAAGTCAAAACTAAATAGAAACTAAAACTAATGAAAAATCCAAAACTATTATAACCTTGGTCCATTATCGGTGAATCAAGTCAAGAAGTTTTACCAGTCTCTCAGAGTTCTTTGTTAGGATCTACCAGGTTTTACCCTTCTTCCAAACAAAGCTAGTGTTGTCCCTTTGAAATTCACATAGTTTTTCCCGGATCTTCGCTTGATGTTTTTCCTTACTTTTCTTCCATGTCACTCCAACCTTTTGCCAAGGTCTTTGTTTCTCTTTCCCAGGGATTCCTATAATAGTTTCTTCTTCGCTGTTTATCAGTCCTTTTTCTTTCAGACTTTCTCTTGATGCCTCCGTCATCAAATTGTACATGACCGCCCTGCTTTCCAGAAAGATTCGGTGTTTGGAACTTAATCCCCTTTTCATTCAGAATTTTTCTTTTCGGAGCAAAAGCCCGTCTTTTCTGTTGGATCTCAGGTGGGTAGTCTTGGTCAAAGAAAACTCTTTTTTTATTTCAGTGTATTACTTTTTTTCTCCATGCAAAGCGGAGGACCAGGTCCTTTGTTTTCCAAAAAGATTTTAAGTCTTGCCGGCGGTGGTGTTTAGAACTTAATTCCCTTTTCATTCAGAATGCTTCCTTCCGGGATTCCAAAAATCTGATTATTATTTCTACGGGAGCGTTTTTCTATATCTCACAGTTTCTCTTTTAAATTTTCTTGTATTTGAATGGATTGATTGAGCATTTCTTTCATCTCTGCAATGTTCTCCTCCAAAATTCTCCAACTCGCTGCTCCACTTCGTTGACCTTTTCTGTCGTTGCATTTAGGTCCGTGATAAGGTCATCCAGTTGTTGATTGACTTCTTGTTTACAGTTACTTAATTCCATTTTCACATCTTTTGCGAGAGAATCTTGGAAGGCGGTTAAATCAGATTTAATATTCTTCTGGAAAGCTTTGATGTCTGTAAATATTGCTGCAATGATAGGTGACAGGCTATCAGCTATCCCGTCCGTCTTGGATTTTTCATCTGTTGATTTCTCATTTTTTTCAGGATTAACTGATTGTTTTGTCCTAGCCTTTTTGTTTTTGTCCCTCCTCCATGTCATTTAAATATGGTTTAGGTTATTATATATGATGTAAAAAGGAGGATTAATACCAGTGTGTATGGAAGCGCTCTTTCTATGCTGCTACATGTGTCGGCGCCTTACCAGAAACCATCCCATGTGTTTCTTAAGCTGCCCTGATTAAGTGAAACTTTGTACACACTGATCATGTCTACAGTTTCTCTCCAGTGTGAATCCTCTCATGTGTTTTCAGGGTTCCTGAGTGAGCAAACCTCTTACTGCACTGTGAACACTTGTACGGTTTTTCTCCAGTGTGAACCCTCTGGTGGCGTTTCAATTCTGCAGCTGTAATAAAAGTATTCTCACACTTCAAGCACATAAACTCTTTCTCTCCAGTGTGGATCATCATTTGTCGATTAAGGGATGTTGATTGGCTAAAACTCTTCTCACACTGAGTGCATGTGAATGGTTTCTCTCCAATGTGGTTCCTCATGTGTATATTAGGGTTTGATGATTGGCTGAAACTCTTACCACACTGAGTACATGTGAATGGTTTCTCTCCAGTGTGTATCCTCATGTGTAGATTAAGGGATGTTGATTGGCTAAAACTCTTCCCACACTGAAGGCATGTGAATGGTTTCTCTCCAGTGTGGTTCCTCATGTGTATATTAAGGTTTGATGATTTGCTGAAACTCTTACCACACTGAGTACATGTGAATGGTTTCTCTCCAGTGTGTATCCTCATGTGTAGATAAAGGGATGATGATTGGCTGAAACTCTTCCCACACTGACTGCATGTGAATGGTTTCTCTCCAGTGTGGATCCTCATGTGTTGATTAAGGTATGGTGATTGGCTGAAACTCTTTCCACACTGACTGCATGTGAATGGTTTCTCTCCAGTGTGGATCCTCATGTGTTGATTAAGGTATGATGATTGGCTGAAACTCTTCCCACACTGAGTACATGTGAATGGTTTCTCTCCAGTGTGAATCCTCATGTGTTGATTAAGGTTTGCTGAGTTGCTGAAACTCTTCCCACACTGGGTGCATGTGAATGGTTTCTCTCCAGTGTGGATCCTCATGTGTTGATTAAGGTTTGCTGAGTAGCTGAAACTCTTCCCACACTGGGTGCATGTGAATGGTTTCTCTCCAGTGTGGATCCTCATGTGTTGATTAAGGTGTGATGATTGGTTGAAATTCTTCCCACACTGAGTGCATGTGAATAGTTTCTCCCTATTGTGGACCCTCATGTGGATCTTTAGTTTGCTTTTGTTTGCCAAACTCTTCCCACACTGATTGCAGGTAAAACAACGCTTGTCTCTCATTTTTAAAATATCATCAGTCTCTAAATGAGTTTTGTCTTCAATTTTGACATGATGTTCCTCCTCTTTACTCCTCTCATACTCTTTAAATAGGTCTGAAATAATAATAAAAAAAAAAGTTCAGCTTTTAGTAAATCATTAAAACTCTCAGTGAAAAGGAAGTGAAAACTTTAATTTTGATGCACATTAAATGTAAAAACAGCAGATAATATTTAGATTGATCTTGTCATATTAACCTCCTAGTGTCCATTACACACAAACACATTTAAGCAGATACTTATATGATTAATCCCAGAGCATTTTGGTCATACTGATGAGACATAAATTTGAAAGCTGTAAATGGCCAGTTTCTATTTGTAATATTCGTCATCACACAAAACAACATGTTTTTGTAAAACTTGTAAAGCAGATAGGGAATGCTTTTTCATTCTGTGCCTGACTGGTAAACCTGTCAAAAAAAAAGCAGCTGAATCTCTGAGAATATTTGCCCCACAGACATGAGACATATCTGCATAACATCTGCATAAAGCCTTAAACCTGCACCTTTAGATGACAAATGTTCTCTGGTTTAGTAATCTGCATGTAACGAATGCAATGCAGAATACTAACACTTAACTGTTTCAGATCATCAAACAAATGTAAATATTAGACAAAGATAACATAACTAAATGCATTGTGCAGTTTTTAAATAAAGAATTTTATTCTTAAAAGGAGGACAAAACACTGAACTACACAGACTTGTGTGAAAATGTTTTTCCCCATTAAACATAACTTTATTTATCACACCGGGTTCAAGTTCTCTAGCCACACCCAGACCTGATAACTACCACACGTTCTCAATCAAGAAATTACCTAAATAGGACCTGTCTGAAGTAGACCAAAAGAGCCTCAAAAGCTAGACATCATGCCAAAATTTAAAGACATGTAAACACAAATGAGAAAGAAAATTCTTGTGTCATAAGTAAAAAAAAACAAAAAACAAAAAAAAACTGAATCAAATGCAGAAAAACAACAAGGGTTTATTAAGGAGTGAGAACCGGAAAAAGCAAAAATCAAAGTAAAAACCCAGTCGGGTGAGCGGTGACAGTACCCCCTCTCTCAAGAACGGCCCCTTGCATTCCCTTAAGACTCACTATGGAACTAATGAAACTGATCAATGAGAGAGCGGTCCAGAATATCCAGAGCCGGAATCCAACATCTTTCCTGTGGACCATAACCTTTCCAGTCAACCCGATACTGATAACCTCTCTACCTCTCCTCCTCACATGCAGGGGCCAGTGCACTGTGTATGTGAGTGCACCCTCAACCAGTCTGGGAGGCAGAGGAGCAGAGGTTATGGGGTGCAGTGGGGAGAGAAGCATGGGTTTGATCTTAGACACCTTAAAAAAAGACTGGATGAATGTTTTTAAACTTAGACTTAATTTGAGTTGAACCAACACTAGACTGAGCACCTTGATAATGGGAAATGGTCCAATGAAGTTGGGTCCCAATTTATGTGAGGGAAGTCTGAGAGGAATGTCTTTAGAAGACATGGCTAAAGCCATAAAGAATCCGATTCCATGGACCGAAGAATGTGAGAAGGCTTTCATAGATACAGTACATGTCCCTGTCGAAGGTCTGTAATGTTAAGCTAATTATTCATTAAAGGCCAAGCCATTCGCATACGTGACGTACTGTTCTTTGTGAGACTGAAATGTTGGTAATAGCTGTGTTTCCATCCAAAAATGAGAACTAAATTTATTTGCAAAACTGGAATATTGCATGAAAAATACACAAATAAATCAGCGTTTCCATCCAATGAATAAAAGAGAACAAAATCGTCACTTCCTGATTAACTGGTTCCAAGTATCAACAGTAAAAACAGAATTTATTACGGTAGAAGAAGTTACATGAATCTTTTGCTTATTTAATAAATGACTTTCCCCTCAGAGGACAATGAACATGTGGTGGCGTTTGAAGCCATGAGATGCAGAGAACAGACACTCTTGACACACTCCAGACGCTCTGGAGATCATTAATAATACAATAGCATGAATACTGAAATGGTTCAGGTGTTTTAGAATGACCAAAACAACATTTTAGACGCTCTGCAGTGTGCTCAGCCTGCTGGTTTGTGCATTCACACACATTTGTATCATCATATAATCTCTTATAACCAACCTTTTTTAATGCACAAACTGGAATTTGTTCAGTAAAGGTGCTTGCGTAGTTTACGTAAGTTTATCTTTTCTTATAAAATAAAAAGTTTATCCTACTCAGTTATGCGCATGTTTTTTATGCCAATATTTCAAAAGTTATGTGCATCATGACATTTCCATCAACCAATTTTTTTATGCTCATAGCCCATCCAAAATGCACTTAATAATAGGTGGCTGGAAACGTAAGGCTAAGCGAGAAAAAGGAAAGGAGACTGACAAAAACTCACGAGTTTAGAGAATAAAACCTGCTACTGACCAGGTAGGTTCACAGAGTAAGTTACCACGGTAACTGACTCGCAGTTAAAGTTAGATCTCTTTCAGAAACTAGCTTACCCTGCTTTCTCAAGTTTGACAAACCTGCCATTTTGAAATGATAACCCAGACTTTCTCTCATTTCAGGATTAAAATACTCTGAGTTTTCACTTGACCTCCTTTCTGAAACAGGGCCCTGAACTCATATGCTATTGTTTTAGAACTTCAATTGCCTATTGTAGAAATGACCAGGATTAATAAACTTGCTCCACAAACAAATGTGTTCATGACTATACATACAAAAAACAATAAAATAAGAAAATATGACTTTGCAACATCAAGCAGCATTAGGCATGGGCCAGTATAAGATTCTGACGGTATGATAAGCTTGAATAAAAATATCATGGTTGAACTGTACTTTTTCCCTTTGAACAAAATATTTTCATTGGAGAAACTTTTACAATATCTTGGAGCAGTAAACATGTCTGGCAAAATCATTCAAATGAATAATTGACAACTGCTGTCTTCATTTGTTTTAAAAATACAGATTTATTTACAATTTAAAACCTCATAATTTGGATACATTTTCTCCTGGAGATACTGTTGTCCTAAAAAACTTAAAATAAAAATTTTTTAAAAAGTATATACTGTAGGAACAATACAGCAGAAAATATTGGCGGTTTTAAAACCTTGACTTTTCTCAAACCGAGGTATACCTTGTAAACTGTCCCTTGCCTAAGCAGCATGACACGGTTTTTAGGATCTAAAAATTCATCTTTTAAAAAAAAAAGTCTCAAGCAAAAAGATTTCAATGGCGGTGCCTGCTGGTACGTGAAGAATTTGGTCAATACTGACAAACTTTACGCTCAAATGTTTGCGTATCATCAGCATGCTGTAATCCATTTCTTAAACAGCAAAAGTCATTTTTAGACTAGTTTGTTGGCCAGTTGTAGTCAGTGCAATGCTAAACGTTATTGTTCCACTATAATGTGTTTGTTTTGTCTCATGTCATCCCACAGCAACATCATATAGTTTAGAATACTGTACAATGTTTTATAATAATTAATTATTTTAGTGTCCATTTCATTCAGCATATTTAATATTGGGGGCATCCACGTTTTCTGACATACTTTAAACCAGAGTTTCTGCAGGTTTCACCAAGTTAAATTTAAGACATTAAGACATTTTTAAGACCATTATGAAATTTTAGACTCATAAAGGGCTAAAGATTTTTTCAAATGGCCCAGATAGAAAGGATTTTATTTTCCCTATCAAAAAATAAATAATAATAATTTTATACATTTAATTATACAATAATAAATGAATAATAAAAACATTTAATATTTTAGATATTTCTTAGCAAAAGATCTTAAATATTGTGTAAAAACAAGCAAGCTCTACTTCACTTTTTTCCAACATAAATTTTCTTTAAAAAAAACAAAAAAACAATTAACAAGTGCATTAAAAGTTTTTAAAAAATTTAAAAAAAAAAATATGCACAACAGTCTGTCCTCAGCAGTAAATACATGGAGCACGTTTAAACATATGTTATTGTAAGGAAAACAATTAAAGCATTATGATAAATAGAGTTAAAATGACCTTTTTGAATAAAAATTTTACTGTTTTATTGAGATGGATTGTTGGTGATTGTATGGGGTTTGACCAGATTGAGCAGCAAAACATGAACAAAGGAAAATGAAGACTTGTTTAAAAAAGATTTAAGACCTACAATACAACATTTCAGTAAATTTAAGACTTTAAGGCCTAAAATTTTGATTTTGTAATTTACAACCCCGCATAAACCCTGTTTAAACACAATAGCCCTGGTAATTAGTTTTTATAACATTAATTTAGTTCTAACTCAGAGAGAGAGAGAGAGAGAGAGAGAGTTTTAATTTTATTGCAATTTCAGCGTCTATGGCTATGTCATGGCAAAAGGAAAATAGATCAAGTAAAAATATTCTAACAATTAAAAGTCATCAACAGCAATAAATAATGTACAAGGTAAAACATATAAATAGTAATAATAATGATATTATATAAGAAAAAAATCTAAAACCGTTTTTTAGGATTTCCTTTTGATAAAAATTCTCCAACTTTAGATGGATTCACGTTTAAAAATATTTCCTTTAAAGTCTCTCCAGATAAATATTGTTGTCTAATAACATTAAAAATGGGGCATTCCACAAGAATATGTTTAACTGTTTGGTTTCTGTTGCAATAAAGGCATTTTGGTGGTTCTTCTCCTTTGAGTAAATGTTCATGTGTGAGTCTTGTGTGTTCTAACTCAGATAAAATCTGTAAGAACTAGTAACAACTACTAGAAACAAGTTTAAACCCATAAAGAAGTTGAGGGGAAAAAGGGAATTGTGATCAAAGTGACATGCAAATGGAAATTACTAAGCCAACACTATCACCGTAATAGCAGATATCTTCTATGAGAATACTGTAGGTCAAATATCGACAGCTCAGTTAAAC